ACCTCATCATTTCACTGAGAAGCCACAGAAGTTCCTGCCTTGTATTTGATTAAGACTATTACCAAAAGGGGTACAAAAGTTAAACACGATGAACAGTGAATATCTTTATTTAATATATAATTAGAATTCATTTAAATCACTCAGAATCACGGGTTATAGGTTAGGTAGTTTGTATAAAAGAGAGCATATATTTGTACAAACATGGTCGAAACCTATGCGCAAGATGGACGCTTTGCCGATGGTAGTGGGGAGAAGCCATACAAATAGTAGCGCGAAATTCAAATTAAAAACATATTTATCCACCAGGAATCCGTGAAATACCTAGGAATATAGACAGTAAACTAAATTGAAAAACGCATATTTTAAAGAAAAAAAAAATCAAATAGATTTGAAACTGAAGGAAATAAACTGGCTGAGTAATGAGAAGATCATCCAAACTGTCTCTAGAAAATAAACTTCTATTATGCAAAGCAATAATAATTCCAATATGGACTTATGGGATAGAGCTATGGGGCTGTGCCAGCAAGAGTAACATTCAAATAATCCAGAGAGTGCAAAACAAAATTCAGAGAATTATCTGTAAGGCTCTGTGGTTTATGACCAACCACATGATTCATAAAGACTTAAAAATTCCTACAGTAGCAAAAGTTATTAAAAACAGAAGTCTAATCTTTCAAAACAAATTGGATGCACACGTCAATCCGGAAATGCAAATAGTACAGACAGCCGAAAAATTAAAACGCTTGAAAAGAAAATGGCCCAGTGATCTACCGTCAGCACATAATTTTTTTGTTTTGCACAGGAAAATTTTCAAACAAGTTACTTTTAATATTATTTATTATTGATTATTGTTTTATTATAATATTAATACTATTATTTTAATTATTATTTATTCATTTATTTATTCTATTTATTTCCTTTAACTCCTTTTATTCTATTTTTTTTTCTTCTTGATTTTGATTTTCAATACCATAACTTTTAACTTATAGATTGCATTGTAATCTGATTGTTAAAATTAGCAGAAATAATAAAAAAAAAAATTTACTTACACTGCTTAGTAGTGTATCTATTCATCATTGAAGATACACTATAAGAGAAAACTACTGCAGCATCTTTCACTCTCATCTTCCTCATCTTTTCAGGATACACATTATGTGCTCGCAAATTATAACACATATGGAAATTTGGCAACTCTGAATCAATTTCATACAATTTAATTGTTCCATAACCTTGTATGATAAAAAACCGGTTCGTAAACATTTCAGCATTTAGTGGCACAATTTCTTGATCTCCAACAAAAAAACCTTGAAGTTTGCAAATTCGATCATCTCTAAGAAACTGTGCTCTTGTCTCATTAGGC